ATTCCTGTTGCTAATATATATATTTATACTGTATATATATATATATATATATATATATATATATATGCATGTCAATGAGGCAGTCATTCTTTCATGAGCAGAAGTCTGTGAAGGACGTGAACGCACCGTCACCCAGAACAATTAATTTATCAGCAGCCTTATTTTGACACAACATTAGCAGATGTGTGTTTGCTATGAAAATGCAGATCAATAACAAGAGCTCAGGAATAGCCGCAGGGTAAAATGCAAAGCATGTGTACAAGTGTATTTGTATATAAATATTAATGGTAATTAATGGATAATACATTTTTGGCGTGTGGTGTTAACACCACATTTACTGGCTTTCATACACACACACGCACAGAGCTATTTGGTTCCTCCACCATCTGGGTTAATGATTTCAGACTTTGTAGTAACTGGGTTAACTGACTAGTTAGTGAACAACACTGATGCATGTAACTTAAGTGAAGTGAACTGGATCACCTTTGACACTGACATAGGCAAACAACGGCCCGCGGGCCAGACGTGGCTCGCTGGGCTTTCTAATCCACCCCACCAATTACTGGTACAAGGTATGCTACAGACTGATGTCGATCCTTTGGTTTCATAGATTACAACAAATAGACTATTTCTGTTGATGCCACCAAATGGCGCTAGACATCAAATTTGCCACATCATCTCAAAGTTGAGTCTTAAAATATTTCACCCAGTGTTCTACATTCCACCAACACTGAACTGGTCTGCCAGCCACCGCTGACTTAGAGTAACCTTAGTCCAAAAAACTATTATTGTATACATTAAAGAAAATCCTGTTTACTGCCTGTTTATAATGGCTGAGTAAAACACACAATGTGGTGCCTTGCCAGGAACAGGTTCAGGCTGCATAGCACTGTAATGATATTTTGAGCATAATAAGAGATGAAAACATGACCTTAGAGTCGGAGGGTATTTAAAAACCAATAAGTCAGGGGTCAAAACTCTGTTTCCTTTGCTGAGGCACACGTACGTAATTTAGTAGAGCAGATTATCTTTCAATTTTCTGCTTAACCACTCAGCACAGTCACATCTACTGTACAGTGGATCCTCCAAAATCTAGAACAGTTCTGCCTGACAGACAGTGAACTAAAGAGGAATTCATTTAAGCTGGGCATAATGCATTTTCAGCTCAATTTCCTCCATTGTATGCCCAAACCTTTTTCTTGCTGAGTGGGTGTTGACAAAAACCCTTGACCTCAACTGAAATAAGTACTCATTAGCTGAACTTTTTTTTTTTAAAAAACTGAAGGAAAATGCTGACCATATTAAAAGAGTTAATTTATGGTATAAAAATGTTCACTTATTAGATTATTGCAACTCTTTTGGTATTTAATTTTAACATAACTAATATACTGCTGTTTACCGCAACACTTTTTATAATATACACTCAGCTCTTTTAAATTATCCTATTCACCAAGGTGAGAAATTTGAGATAATTGTTTCAATTAATCTTTTCAAGTTGTAACAGACAGGCCACACGGGGAGACTCTCGACTGCTGTAGGAGACTAAATTAATACCGAGTTTGTTTGTGAGGGTGATTTTTATCAATGGAGAACAGGCTGTGGTTAAGCACTCACTGAGACTATCAAGGTCTGCTGAGATACGCAGAGAGAAAGACAGCCTGTTGTTTTTTTCTGTCTTTAATTAAATATTCATTGCTTTACATATCACCTTCCTACTGTGCATGAATTTTCCTACAATCATGACTTTATATGAAGTCTGGGGTTCATCAAACAAACCTAGTCATGTATTTCTGCGCTGCTGTACTGCATTAATTGGTAGAACAATGAAAGTATGTGGCTGGAAAAAAAACACTGAAAATAAAGGGGAGGTGTTCATACTGTCAACAGGTGTAGAGCTAAACTAGATCCAGGGCCCATGCTATCATGTGGTTAACCACAAAACCACTGCGACAGTAATTACAAACCTTGCCTTCCAGAAAGTTGGGACACATTCCAAAATTTCTGTACAGCCTAAATCTGTGAGCTTGGGCCCCCTCTCCCCACAACCTGTAAGGCAAAAGGCTAAAGAAAAGACTTTACGGATTTCACTGACCAACTGAGACACAGACGAGCTCACCACACACACACACACACACACACACACACAAAATCCTTCCCTGCTAAGAGTCTTTTTTAAGTCTTTTTGTAGAGGCTCCATTTATATTGGATTCAAGAATCCTGGGACCTCTGAATTATTCCTAGTGGAGTTCCTAGGTGTGGCTCAAAGCGTTTTAGGTGAACATAAATAAAAACATGGCCGACGGTGCTGAGGTAATATTCGGTTTGTTCTGAAGACAGACTTCGGAAGGATAAATAAAAAAGAGGAGAAAAAGATAATAGATTGCTTCCGTTTTTTACATTCTTGCTGAAAAGTTGCTCTTAAAATAAGCTAAAATAAAACTGCTAAGCTAACTCAAGGTTTACATTCACATAGTATTTAAATATGCATTTATTTAAAAATGTTATATTATTTAATGCATTACATATTCTCCTTTTTTCCACAGTGAGCTTCCATGTTTTATGTTGTTGTTCCTTGACGTCAGGCTGCTACATCACAGTAAAAAGTTGAGGTCAATAATTTTGTCTTGACTTAGCTAATTGGACCTTCCACTTCCAGTGGGATTCCGGTTCACTTTATGTCAATAGAGGTCTGAAATTTCTGGAATGCACCGCAATACTGTACCCAGTCTTTATACCAGTAAACCTGCAAACCCTCAAGTGTTACTTCTAGGTCATTTCAGTCTGACTCTCCGTCTATGTTACCACATGTTCAGCACATTAAATCTTTTTTTTCTGTAAAAACAAACAAAATTATCCCATTATCCCAAGTTTAAATTCCAGATTAAAAAAAAAAATCTGAAGTGAAATTTGAGTAGATGTTCTAACCGTGTTCAGTCAAACTCCGACTTTGTCAGTATCAACTTCTCAGGCTCAGATTTTGACACCTCGCTCACTTTTTATAGTTTTGCTCAGCACCTATCAGCACAAATTTTTTATAACTAACTCTGACAAAACCTCAGGGAAGCATAAAAATCTATGTTCAACTCCCGCATTTTATTTGATAGATTTGATAGGGTTTCTGGGCTTTGAGCAATTAAGAATCGTTTCCCCACTGAGCTGTAGCAATAGTGACAGTGGAAGACGGGTTTCAATGCACATCTGATCAATGTGAGAGAGGGCGAAAATGCTTGTAGAAAAAAAAGCATTTTCTAAATGGATTACAGCGATGTCACACTCAGCCGCCTGTGGCCAGATCAACATGGATTATAATGGTACATCACATGTTTTTTTTGTTTTTTTTTTTAAAGAAATGTCTGCACAGGTGCATTAGGGCCGATTAGGGTACAGTGAAAACAGGCTTCTGTCAATGTTCTCCATTTTGCAGGACAGGCTAATTGCACAGCTATTACAGAATACTCTGGAGCTCCCACATCACGGTGCCATTACAGCAAATGCAGCCTCCCACCCGCCTACTACTGTAGCAGCTCAAAGCTCCTCTGAAAGCTCTCATAACACAGATCAACAGATCGACTGCTCTGCTTGCTTAAGGCACTGAGTCTATTAGCGATGACAAAAACCTCAAAATGGCATAAACCCAAAATCAATACCAAAGTTTGACTTAAATTTTTTTAGAGATATTTTCAAACACAGTGGCACGTGTAGCATTATATGCCACATGCTGCGTATAAAATCTGATTCTGCCGGCCGATATACATCACAGAAGAATCCATCGGTTCAACCTCTTAATGCTTAATGCCTGCTTGAGAGTCAGTTAAAAATAAAAGCTTGATGGAAAATTCAAAGACAGGATGAGACATTACACCTGGTGTGAAATGATAATTCGACCTTAACACATTCTGCTGAGATAAATAGATGTCCTCGCATTTATTTACCTCCAGCACCTGCTAAGCACATTATTGTAACACCATTTCATTCACACCGATATAAAAACAATTGCCCCCATGAAGAGAAAACACTGAAAGGAGTACGAAATGTTGAACCTTACACTTTGTTGCATCGCATTCCAAACAATCCTCTGGTTTGCAGCAGTAAAGTGGAGGAGACAGAGGCTTAATTAATTCAATGTAAAAACATGTTGATGGACATGCAAAGCTAAAAAGGCACAGGCTGGATATAAAACATCACAAATGTGTGGGGATGGATGACATACTGTAATTAGAGTCTGAGGGGAGAGGGTTTTTTTCTTCCAAATATGAATTAATTTACTAATAATAGAAATATGTAAAAATGTTTTTAGGAACGTGTTTGTATCCACTTGGGAGGAAGCTAACACATTAGTTATTTTATTAATTTTTTTATATGCCACTTAATTAATAAGGCTTTTGTTGTGAGGGGAAAAAAGCCACTAAACAACAGCAAAACGCAGCTTGAAAAGAGTCATTTTAAAAGAAGCTGCAGGGCAAAAAAGGAAGGGCAGTGTAGCTGCGACAGTAAACCACGATGAGAACTGTCTCGCACCAGAATTGTGGGCTGTGGGCTCCATATTAACCTTTGCCCTCAGGCAGCATTTTAAGGTTTCAAGGTTGTTTGAGATGAAAATCCATGTACCAGGATCCAATCCTGCAAACATTTCACTAATCTGTCTGCAAATAATGGTGAGCTTCATGGCAAACAATTGACATGATTCCACCCCCCCTCGAACCCCTACTGCCCCTCTTCTCTGTTTGTCCGAGTACACAGATGAGATGAGAAGGGCAGTGAATGCAGCCACACCAAACCTTCCACTGCCCTTCCGGGGTAAAGCTGTTGATTCGTTAACAAACACAAATCAATAGAGGGGCCTGAGTGGAGGACAAGTATAAAGAATTAATTTCCGGCACCGGGGGCTTACGATGGCAAATCACCAGCTTTAATCAACAGTGTCAAGTCAGAGAGATGAATGATGTTTACACCAAAGCAGTCTCTAGCCTGGAAATAGCAGCATTGGCTCAGTTTCCTACCAGTCTGTCGAGGCTTGTGCCTGCTGCAGTGGTAGGACGCTCCTCTGGGCTGTACGGCCTGAAGCGGGCGTTGAACACATCCGAAACACCACGGGCAGACCTAGTCATTCCAGCGGGTTTGGGCTGACCACAACCTTGAAAAACCTGCAATTAGAAAAACATGGGCACCCACTTGTCAGAGGGTTGGATTTCTCTGGATGCGGAAAATAGGGACGGCGTGCTGTTTTGTTAAGGTCCTGTGAATCATTCACCCCACATTACCGGAGTGACAGTGCTCTACGTCAAGTTGAGGTGGCCTTGTTGATAGGTGACTTGACTGGAAGCTGTGACCGATGCTATTTAGGATGTAAGAGTTTAGTTTTTACGGGGTTTGGGGGAAAACGCCACATATACTTAAAACCATAAACAAAACTGCATCTGTTGCATGGGAAAACCAACGGAGCATTTAGCTTTGAATGAAAACTGACATTCAAAACTGTGTGGGCAGAAAAAAAAAATCATCAGAACCACCTACATTTTTCCTCCTTGAGTCCAATTTTGTGGGCAAAGGAAATATGCAGTAAAAAACATATTAACTACTGTTAGTTGAAGATTTTCTGACCAAACTCAAACATATAATTCAAATACAAGACCTAAACTGGGACTTAATTAGAACGTGTTGCACTGCACACCTTAGACAGGGCCCAGTGTGGTTGACAGAGGGCCGGTCTTTCAGTCTTTATCCACCATCTCAATAACAGCTTTGTGGAGTTTTATACCGTAGTTGGACATTTGCAATTTTCTGTGGGGTGTTACTTTTGTTGTCCTGTGGTAGAAAAAAAAAACTGGACCCACCCTGTAGGAGACCTGGGCACTGTTATCCTGCATATTCATGATGGCCTCTGAAATCTTCACATCAATGGGCTCCATGACAGATTCAATGTTGAAAGGTCCCTCCAGCCTCTGGGCCACCAGCAGCATGGCATCTGTTATAAAAGAGGTGAAAGAGGTGTTGTGTTGGTACAGAGACATGAAAGGACATACACAACACAGCACTGTTTATCTGTCACTTGAACTCATGTGGACAATATGCTGCTCCTTCCAATGTAGCTGCAAACTCAGGCTGGAAGGGAAAACCCTGGATAAAGACTGAGGATGTTCCACTCGTTTCAGAAGGAACTCAGTATGAAAATAGATCTAGGAAAAAGTGGGGCTCCATCCCAATCTATTAATAATGTAAGTAGACATTTCCATACAATGTCATTATACGGAAATGTATACTTAGTCAGGCTCAAGTTTAGCTGACTTGTAAGGTGGCTTTGAGATAGTTGAGCTTAAGATCAACTCATTGGACTTCAGCCATGCTGTCTGCTTTAAATATAGAACATATTCTAATATATTTGCCGGCCTTGAATTTGACACATGTCAAAAAAAATCACCTGATGCTGCAAATATGGTAGCAAGTAGCTTCATATGGTTCAGATGACAAAATGCTTGTGGTCTTAGACACAGCACACTTGACCCCCTTGACCTATTTAGCTCACAAATGGCATGCAATACTGATACTGGATGAGACAGATCCTGTTTTTATAACTGGACCATTAAATGGACACAAAATTAACAAGTCAGCCACAGGTGATCAAAAAAGACGTTGTAATCAAATGATTAGCCTTTTTAATGGGCGTTAAGAATTCACACCACCAAGAGCAACAGATGTCTTCAAAAATCATTTGTTTGAAGATGTTTGGGACATTGTGATTTAACACATACAACAGGGCAGCCCAGGACACAGTGGTTAAAACTTAAAGGATGGGGGTTGTACTGTGCTGAGCAGGCACCAAAACTGCACTGCCAAGTGAATGCATTAAAAATGCAGCCCACTGTTCCTTCCTGTTTGGCAAAGATAAGTTACAAAAATGTTAATGGCATTTCCATTTTTAAAAGTATAAGTATAAGTTTAAAAGTATGAGCAAGTATGAGAAAATGTGCTTTAAAAATTATTGCATCATCATGATTGTCAAATGGATTGCAAGGGACTGTGGACTAATTAGTGTTGTTCAGGACGAGGACACTGTAGTCCTGAAAACTCTTTTTGAAGACTTTCATCAGGTCACAGTCAAGAGAAATTGTTCATTTCCACTAACATTGCAAAACAATTTTGTGGAATAGATTTTTGTACATTTATCTTGAGTCCAATTCATTGGACTTTCTGTTCCAGTAGTTTTCAGATTTTTAAAAATTATATTTAAGAAAGTTGAGTAATCTAAACTATTTCCGATTAATCATGAGTAACTCTGATCAATACACCCCACTATGTGATAAATTAGATTAAAACATTTAAATTATTTAACAGTCCTAAAAAAAGAGGTATTTTCTGAGCCAGAATGAAGCTGTGAATGGTGCAGTATTACCAGGAGTGGCCCATAAATGTATGCTGCCCGGAGAGTCACTTCTAAAAACCTGGAGGGGTTTTTCCAGTCTTTTTCTGGGACTTCAGATGGCACTGTCCATTTGTTATACGTGACCCATGTGTGGGACCCACAACAGAGAACACTGTGCACTTCAACTTGAAAGGTTAATGACACATCTAAAAATAAAGTTGAAATGTGGAACACCAAGCAGTATACAGAAAAGGTGATGGTTTTTTAAATGAAAATGAAATTGAATAATTAATCAGATTTTTGAGAGAACAAAAAAAAGTTCAATTACCTGCACACAGCCTTTCACTGGAGGTCGTACTCCCCTCATAGTTTCATGTGTCCCACCCTGTGATTACTACGCGCTATTGTTAGTTACCTCCACACACCACATCGGAGTCTACTAACGCACACTGAAGCATAAATCCTTCTCGGGGCAAATTGAATATTTATGTAGATTAGTTTAACCAAGTCAATAAAATTTGGTTACGCTGCATGTAATAAAAAAAAGTGCTGATGAGTCATAGATTTAATAGAACATTTAAAAGCCAAGCACTTACTTACATCTGCTGTGGGCAATGAATATTAAAAGGTCATGGGCTCATTAATATCACTGCACACACACACAGGCCTGAAAGCCTTGTTACACAGAAATACACTCCATTATCATCTCCACAGAGTCCATTTGTTTTCATCTCCTTCAATTAACACCTCTAATCACCGAAAAGGATTTTGTATTAAAAATTTGTAATATTTACTCAGAGGGTTCAGTCTTCACAGGGGGGTCATGGGAGTCAGGCAAACACTCAGTGCAGAGTGAATTAATTGGTGTTGTCACAAAATTGTGCTAAAGTACTCCACAGCCCATAGGGTGTGTTAATGGGCCCAGGTCTTTACCATGGCACTGCTGTATTTGAATGGAGCTCCAGAGGGACCTGGACATCAGCAAACCACCAACTCATATCTGAGCAAGTTTTTACGACCCGGAGCCAGTACTTAGACGTCCTGTCAGGAGAGTTCCCTCCGCCCACAGACCTCCCAGGACAGGACCTCAGCCACTGCCTCTGCAATTATCCCTCCTTACTAAATTAGGCCGTCCTGTCATTTTGGTAAAGATAGAAACAATGGTATTCTCTTAAATACCTCTGTTTAATCTACTAATTTTACTAATTTTCTAAACGAGCTTGGACAGAGGCAGCTTCATCACTGGATCACGTTCTTTTTTTTATTCCACATGCAATATGTTTGAAAAACAAGTATAACATTTTTTTAAAGTTCTGTAGGATTTCTTTTTCTATTTTTGCTCTTTTTAATTGACCGCCGACATCTGTCGAGTTACACCTGAAATTGTCCTTTTGAAAAATGGAGGGAAAGATTCATTCTGACGACAGTACTGGTCTCTAACAGTTTCAATATAAGGCTCCTCATCACTAACTGAACACACAGATCACCATTACAACTAATACACACTCAAAGATCAGAGATGCTCTTTTTTTTTTATCTCCCCACAAAAACAACCATTGACTAATTTAACTGGTCCATCCTCAACCTTTAGGCCAGAACACCTGATGGTATCTTTATGTAAAGTTGATGTATTGAGTTTAAAGCAGCTATTTACTTGGTCACCATATAGTAGCACAGCAGTTATTAGTGCAGTGAAACTAACAGAATGCAAATGTTAGAAAATTAGGAATCTGCAAATAACAATCTGTAATGGATCTTACAGAACCGTATCTGTTTAATCTTCTACCCTCAACCAATGTGCAGTGTATTGTGGGTAAATGCCTTTTTACTTTTTGAAATGCACTGCTTCTTTTAAATCTGATCTACTTTACTCTAAACTAACGGCTCTTATCTGACCTAACCAAATATAATCTGATCTAATCTAATATAATCTAATCTAAATCTTTACATTTCATGTAAACTATTAGATTTGTCAGGAATTAAAACAACAGCCTTTTTTTTTCTTTTGCTCAAAGTGTTGGTCAAGAAAATCACCGAAATAGTGATTTCTATGTTTATACCAAGTGTGCACTTGTTCTGGTTAGATTCTATCTAATCTAGGAGATTGTTAAAAAAAACAAACAATGCCACCCTTTATTATGTCTTTCTCTGCTGTTTAATTGACAGTGATGAATTTGTACAGTTTATATAAAACAAAAGACCTTAATAACACACTAACATCTGTGTTTAAAAGATTGCACACAAATTTGCTAAAGTAACAGGGGCCAGTGTGGAGGGTTGGGGGTATTGTACAATAAGGAACAAAAAAAAAATTATAACCAGCCGACCTGTTCAGACTTCCATTCTCTCGGGACCCGAAATCACTAATGGCAGAGGCAGAGAGCTGAGAAACATTAGGCTCTGCTCTGGATCCATTTCCTTTCCAATTATGTTGAAGTCTCAGCCTTTGAAGGGCTCTTCTGTTTGTTTTCACTGCAGACTGCAAATAGCCCGTGATGCTCCCAGAAATTTTAATATAAGCGACAGACTACTGTACGTTGGTGCCAAATGGTTTTCTACACAATCTGTTCAATCTCCACGCTGTGCTACCATGTGTTGAAAATGACCCAAGAGAGGCGTCGCTCACTAATTGTCTAGAAAAATAAATGTTGGGGTCTATTGTCAAACTATTTCTTGACGATACAAAAAACTACACAAAACTTGAAGGTCACGTGTTTCTCCCCCAGCTCTGAAGGCAATTCAAATGTGACATTTTCACACGACTCGCTTTAAATCTGATTACGACGTATATTCATTTTCAAGCAGCCCCGGGTAAGTTTGCTTATTCGGTAACAAACAAGCCTTAAAAAAAAAATCTAAATTTAGGTATAAGCCTTAAAAAACTGTCAGCTACAATCACCAAAAAAATTAGGTCAAGGGAACCAAGGAGAAACAACTCATATTTCACAGGAAAAGAAAAGGAAAAAAAAGGATGATGCCTCCAGCCACAGAGGTGGATCAGATCTTTCCCAACAAGAGTGATTTATCTAAAAGGCATTAGATGAGCTCAACAACAGAGGAAGATTTATAATAACTGAGGGAGAGAGCAGAGAAAAAGGGAGCGGCCGGGAGTGAGAGAGACTATGTTCACACTGTCAGTCATGTTGTTTAATTCTTGTTCAGTACTGATCATTCATGACAGTTTAAATCACACAGAATCCGTAATTCACACACATCTGATTTTTACAGGAATGTGACAATTTGACGCGTATTAACAAGTCGGTCTGGAGTGTGTCGTGCTTCTCCCCCAGGTCACATGTTAATATGATGAGATGCACTTGTGGTAAATTTCTCCAATCGTCGAGGAGTTAAGAATTACATTTACACCCTCAACAGGGTTTTTCTGGAGGTCAGTGAACGCACCGTTAATAAGCAGTGGCGCTGCCGGCCTGACATTTATCAACTGATCCTGTAATTGGCTGAAAATCCGCTGTGTTTATTTTATTTCTGGATTTACACGACGTAACCTTAGCAATAATGATTAGAGCTAGTGATTTTGGAGAAAAGAATATGAATAAATAAGCATGAACCCAAAGCCACACTGCTGCAACTGTTGTTGATTCCAT